CTGGTGGAGGGGGGCAGGTCGCAGGAGGGCTGAGGGCAGTGAGAAGGGCAGGAGTCAGGACAGCAGAGGAGGATGAGGGGTTCGGGAGCTGATGGAGCAAGGGGAGGAGACATGGCAGCAGAGGGAAAAGGTAGAGGTTTGAGATATTTATTAATAACTTGGGTGCCACAGTGGCATATGCAAACATGCCCCATGAACTCAGTACTGGTGCACAACACAAAATTCATTCTGCTCATGGGAGGAAACACTTAGAGGGAACACTTCCCCCAGCCTCTCCGCCTCCTTCGCCCCCGAGTTAATGTCACACACATTGGGGTAATGCGACTGCAGGATAGTTGCATGAGGGGAGTTTGGAAGGGAGGGGGCAAAGTAATTAGTTTTGGTAGGAGGATGGTGGGTAAAGTCCTTGCGGGGGGGCACATGACACCTTTTACTTCTGGTCATGTGTCCATCTTGCCAGGAGAGTATTACCTCCAGGGGTGTGGCCAATGAGGGTCAGGGGTGTGGCTAATGGGGGTCAAAGTACATTTAAAAAAAATTCTTTCGGTGCACACCCTAATGAAATGTCCTGCTCACGCCTATGAATCCAACTGATGTTTTATGAAGGAGCGTGTGTGTGTGTATAAAATTCAGAACTTTTCAATCCATATATTAAAGCTTTTCCTGCGGGATGACAGAATGACATCCTCATGTTACTCTGCGTGCTGCCTGTTTACTCCTTCTTTCCCCCTTCCTCTCCTCATAGCTCAAACCCAACAGCTGTGTCTACACTGGGCCACTTATTCCGGAAAATCAGCTGCTTTTCCGGAATAAGCTGCGAGCTGTCTACACTGGCCCTTGAATTTCCGGAAAAGCAATGTTGCTCTACTGTACAAAATCAGCCGCTATTCCGGAAAAACTATTCTGCTCCCGCTCGGGCATAAGTCCTTATTCCGGAACACTGTTCCGGAAAATGGCCAGTGTAGACAGCCCAGTAGTCTTTTCCGGAAAAAAGCCCCTATCGCGAAAATGGCGATCGGGGCTCTTTTCCGGAAAAGCGCGTCTACATTGGCCACAGATGCTTTTCCGGAAAAAGGGCTTTTCCGGAAAAGCAGCCTGCCAATGTAGACGCTCCTTTTCCGGAAAAACTGAAAACGGAATAGTATTCCATTTTAAGCAGTTCCGGAAATTCATGCCAGTGTAGACGTAACCAACCTCTCTTTCTCCTCGCTACTTGGAATTGCTATTTTGAACCAAGCTCCTACTCCCCTTTCTCCACCCATACTCCACAGGGCTTTCAACGCCAAGAATCATGGCACAGTGTCTGGCAGACCCCACATCGCAGCCATGATAATCCAGGGGCGGGAAGTGGTGGTGGATGCAATGCTCGGGACAGTAGTCTGGGGACAGGCACAAGGAGAAAAGCTCCCAACTGAGATTATGTGCCAAAAGTGGGCCCTTGGGTGCTTCTCCAGCGCCAGGTCTTGGGGAGCTGGAGCGCAGTGCCCAGCCACCTGGAGTCTGGCAGCCCCCACCAAGATTCACCTCCCCAGCAATTGCACTTATCATGGCTGCCAGAGCAACCCCGAGTGCCTGGGGTGAGCCGCTGCACCAACCTGTCTGCTACTACCCTCTGCTCCCAGCAGGCAGGTGCATGGGCAGCCCTGTTCTCTGCAAACAAGGCTGGAGCAGTGAGTAGTGCAGGTGGGACTGCATGAGGGAGAGTTGTGTTGCTGCTTTTCCCACCTCAGCAGCTGCAGTGCCCCGGAGAACTGTGTGCACACAGCACTTCTTGCAGCTCCCAGTGCCCCACGCGAGGGTGAGATTAGAGCTGGGGCTTGTGAGAAGGGGAGTTAGGGTTGGAGAGGGAGGATCTGGGCTGGCGGGGGGAGGGAGAAGGGACCCTTGCTTTCAGGGGAAGGGGAATCAGGCCCCAGGCTGTCACGGGGCGGGAGGGGGGAGGAGGGAGAATGGAGGCCTAGGCTGGCACAGTGGATGGGGGGCGAGGGGAGGGGATAGGGAGATGGGGGGAGGGAGAAGGGACCCTATCTGGCAAAGAGGGAAGGAGAAAAGGCCTGAGCTGGCAGTGGGGGTGGGAGAGCAAGCAGAGGGCACAGCCCCTTAGTTTTGTTTTGTTTTGTTTAATTTTTCTTATCCCATTTTAAGCACCACAGTCTACAAACAAATTGGTCACTCTAATTAAAATGCTATAGGGGGACAGGAAATTGGTCTTGGATTGGAATCCAGAAGTCATTCTTAATTCTAGAACTACAGAATTGCAACAAGCACCTCACAGAAAGGGATGAAGGAAAAAATGTCTGCCACAGTTAAGAATCTTTCTTTTCTTAAACAGTGTAAAGGTTTAGAAGTAGATTGACTGATTCCTTCTTTTTCATATTACAGATAAAAGAATATGAAAAACTAGATTCTGAGGAGGAACGTCTTAGTAGGAGTCGGCAAATTTATGACACATACATAATGAAAGAGCTGCTGTCGTGCTCACATGTATGTATGCTGCAGTTTCACGCTACTATTTTAATACTTAAATGCTTTCTTTGACTTTAAATTCTTTAAAATATTTAACAAAGGAAGGCAGTGAGTAGATGAAAGTCTTACAGGGAATTACACAAAACATGCAGTATCTATTATGATAGCAGGGTCTACTAGCTCAATTGTCACTCTTTGTATAGTTCTATTTGAAAGAGTGGATAATCTACAATAATGATACGATTTGAGCCAGAGAGAAATTTATCCTATTATTTAGGGCCTTGAATCTACACATACTTATTCACATGCTTTACTTCGCACATGCTTTACAATCTACTTCTAAACCATAATTCTATTGAAGTCACTAGGAATACGAATGACTGAACATGAGCATATATACATGTGCAGGATTGGGATATATGTGTGAATTTTTTTGAAAACTTATGGGGCTACAAAGAAGTAGTTAGTGGTTTTATGTGTTCTGAGTTCCTTTGCATTGCCATTACTTGTTGAATGGTTTCTGCCATGCATGGCATGATCTGGGATTTTTTTTTCAGAAAGGGGATTGGGATAACTTCCAGGGTGTTATGCAACAGGATATTTAATGGAAACTAAATTACATTAATTTAGAAGTTTGTGTATTTTTCATATAAACAGTATTCCTTTTTAGTTGAAAACTGGTATGAGGACCTCAATAATTGAGCCATTAAATATCTCTTTACCAGCTTCTAGTCTAAAATTTTACTTCTTATTTTTCAAAAGCCATTCTCAAAGCAAGCTGTAGATCATGTACAAACTCACCTAGCCAAGAAACAAGTGCCACCAACTCTTTTTCAGGTGAGATGAAAATACTCTGAATATCCAGATTTCATTAACTAAGCAAATTCAAGGGACCTCCTTTCTGTTCATGTTATATTTACAATTATAAGAGGAATTTTATACTGTATTTTTGGAAATCAGTGAAAACAAAATGATATAGGAAAATGTTTCTGTATATATTAACCAGATGTTTCTAATTTCACTGTGTTGTTAAAGGTAATAGAACTTGAAAATTAGCTTTTGAGTACATTTTTGAAAATAGATTACTGTTCTATAGCTTTACTGACTGAAGGGATCTAAAATTAACATTTTATTCATGCTTTCTTCCAAAATTTTATGGGAAACTCCTTAAAATATACAATGATTACAGATAGCACTTTTTTGGTGAAATGGGTACGGGTGCGGGAGAGGATTCTGACCTGGGGGAAGGGCATAGAAGGGGATGCAGAGTCTGGGACAGAGTTGTGACCTGGAGCAGTAGGGGGGTGGGAGTTGTGACCTGGGGCAAAGAATTGGGGTACAGGGTCTTGGAGAGGATCTGGGTGGATTTGGGTGCAGAATCAGGGGCACATGGGGTTTGGCTTATGTGAGACAGGGTGCAGGAGGGATGGCAGAAAGTTGGAAGGGAGAGAGGGGCTGGGGTACCAGGTGCAGGCTGTGGCAGGGGGGCGCCTCCCAGGGAGGCACTTACCTGAAAGTCTTTCAGCAGCCCAGCAGGACCCTCAGATAGGCTCCCTGCCTGCCCTGCCCCTGGAGGCTGCTCAGAGCAGCTGCCTGCAGAGTCCATGTGCTGCTAAGAGTGCTACAAGCCTTGGGGAAGGGATGGTACTTTGCACGCTCCTTCTCTGCCCCCCCCTTGCAGTGGCACTCAGAGAGGAACATGGTTCCTGCCTGCAACCGGCCATTTTGAGCAGTGTGCAGAAGTGGGGAAACAGGGAGTGTATTTTTCCTGTTCCTGACTTAATTGCATCCCTGGTTTTGGGTCAGCATGGTCAGTACTTTGCAGGACTTAGCCTTTAACTTGTTTCATGAAGGTCTTCTTAAATAACTGTGAAACTTTCATTCAAAATTCAATTAAAAATATGTACCCAATTTCAGTTAACCACTTGGCAGTGTTGCTTTTTCACACATTGTCCTAGAAATTCAGTCCTAATCCATGTAATTATATGCTTTTCATATGCTGGTTCCAAGTGCATTCTAGGTAACCTAATTAGCAGAGTGGGAGGAATTTCACATGGACGTAATGTGAACGTAGGATATAGCTGCTTTGCCAACCACTTACATTTTTAAAATATAGTGTATAATGAATCCCTTATATTTCCTTTCAACATAAATCAGCTATGAATTACAAAATTCAGCATAATATTTCAGAAATATAAAAGCCTAGCAATGCATATACTTTTCGGTTTTGTGGATCCTTCCTTTTGCCTCTAGCTAACTGTATTATATAGCACCGTATTTTTGAGGTCTGGATGTGTGGTTAGAGTTAGTAATATTACAGTATCACATGCAGGGTTTAGGTGTTGAAACCAATTTATAGTTCCTTTATTATTCTAAATGCACTGGGAAATTGCGTTCTGAAAAATGGCTACTTCTCCTCCACAGAGTCCTTGTCTATAAAATGATCAATATTTTAGGATTTTAGAATCTGTAGGAATTATATATTCACAAATTTAACACCAAAGTAAATAATGAGTTTTGATGTATTGTTTTTAAAAGTGCACCTTTCATGCTTTTTATTTATTCAAACAAATTGAAGGTACAGTAAGTATTTCTATATTATTACATTTCTAACACAAACTGACCTAAGCAAGGAAATTCAAATTGAAGTTGTTAGCATACATAATTAGACAAATTAAGGATGGAATTTTGGCTTTAAAGATGAATTTCCTGACTTTTTGAAAATAAGAACCTATGTGATGTGGCAGTGACTGCAGGTTTAAACTGATTTGCTGTAATATATTAATTGCATTTACTGTAGCATTTAAAGTACTTTTAGTTTCAGTACTCATTTCCTGTGTTGGCCCATGGGCAAAAACTGCAAAATTCTCTTCAGTCTCTCCTAGGAAAATGCTAAGGCCCACTGATTCAGAAAAGCACTTGAGCACATGTTTACCTTCAGTGCAGTTATTCAGGTTCTTAAAATCACACACATGCTGAAGTTCTTTTCTGAATCTGGTTATAAGCCAGGAGAATCACTACAAAAAATTGCAGGGACTTAGAACCCTTGTTCTGTGGGCATTGAAGATACTGAATATGATATAGAGTTAGGTGTGTTGTAAATTATCACGTCTAGAAAATGGCTTTTAGATGTTAGAACATAAATTGTTCTTGACAGTAGATGGTAAATGCTGGAGCCTAAACATGTAATTGGTTTTCACTGGACAGTTCTGAATGATCATATTATCATACAATGAAAAGTTAAATCGTTTTTTAATCTTTTTTAGCCATACATAGAAGAAATTTGTGATAGTCTCCGTGGAAAAATATTTCTAAAATTTATGGAAAGGTATGAATCTACATACTATATGAACTGTCATGTAATAACCTGCAGTAAGTCATGACCCTTGAGTATGATTGCAAAATAAGGCTAGAATTATTTAACAAATAGTGTATTATCAGCAATCTTTTCCAAAGAACTAGCCTTGATACATGTATCATGTGAAATACCAGGATATCCCAGAATTGTATGTAATGTAATTGTGACAGAACTTGTAAGGATATTTCAAGAAAGATGTGGAGAAATTGGAAAGGGTACAGAGAAGAGCGACGAGAATGATTAAAGGTTTAGAGAACATGACCTATGAAGCCAGGCTTCATGAACTGGGCTTGTTTAGTTTGGAAAAAAGAAGATTAAGGGGGGACATGATAGCGGTTTTCAAATATCTAAAAGGGTGTCACAAGGAGGAAGGAGAAAATTTGTTCCTCTTGGTTTCTGAGGACAGGACAAGGAGTAATGGGCTTAAAGTGCAGCAAGGGAGGTTTAGATTGGACATTAGGAAAAATTCCTAACTGTCAGGGTGGTCAAATATTGGAATAAATTGCCAAGGGAGGTGGTGGAATCTCCCTCTCTGGAGATATTTAAGAACAGGTTAGACAGACATCTGTCAGGGATGGTGTAGGTGGAGCTTGGTCCTGCCTTGAGGGCGGGGGGCTGGACTCGATGACCTCTCGAGGTCCCTTCCAGTCCTATTATTCTATGATTCTATGATTCAGACCACACACTTAGTGGGCCAGCCTTAACACCATGGATTTTTTACAGTTTGATCTTTTAAGAGTCTGAAAGTCTGTAACTGCATTCTTTGGATGATACTCCTACAAATCAACTACAGTGTGATGGGGGCAAGTGATATAGCAATTCTGATATGTAGCCCAAACAGTTTACAGTAAACAGTAACTGTCCTATGAGGAAATCTAAGGGGGGTAAATCTAGTTCATCTTACACATCTGAATAATGCTGTTGACCTTAATTGCACTGCTGGTGGGAATAAAGTGCACAGGATTTGGCCCTTAATCTTCTGCTGAGAAATGATATATCAGTTTATGTAGCCAAAATAATGTCCTCAAAAAATCAGTCTTTCTTACCCTGAAAATAAGCATTTTATAACTGATACAGTAGCAGGAGACAGTTACCCTGTAACAACATTCAGTGGTATTGGCGTTTTCTTTATTTCAGGATAAATAGGCTTTTATTATTTCTTGGTTAATTAAAATTTGAAGTTATAGGACATATTTAATTTCAGATTTAATTATTTTTCTTGTGATACAGTTGAAATGTTGTTTTTAATTCTCTGAAAATTGACAGAAACTGGGTCTAAAGGAAAGTATTAAATATGGATGCATTCATAACTGAAATCATTAGATATCTTTTATAACATTATTAAGTGAAAAAAATAGTGAGAGTGCTAAATTAAAACATGCAAAAAAGATGGCTAATCAGTGGATTTTTTAAAATGGCAATTTTAATCTTCGTACATTATTTTGTGCTGAATTTAATTGCTAAAACTTGAGAAGCTAGCATTTTTCACAATACTTTCCGTAATTCTTTTGGATAACTTTTAATTTAACTTTTTACATTTTTTTAAACAGTGACAAGTTTACTAGATTTTGTCAATGGAAAAACGTAGAACTAAATATTCATGTAAGTAATTACATTTATTTTGTCAAAAGCTGATGTAGGTAAGAAAATGTGTTAGATTTAAAAGAATACTTCTAAAAGGCCATATTAAGAAGAACAATGAGTATTTTTCTGATATGCTGTTCTATTCATAGGTGTACATAATCTCCTAACACTATTAATGATTCCTCCTTGGCTACCCTCTCTGCCCATTATGACTTAATAGCCTAATGGTTTTGAAGTGGGAGGCTAGAGGAAACAGATTGTTGGAGCATTACTTTTCAGCTAGAGAACCAACCTCAAGTACTATTCTGTCTCCCTGTGTTTCCCGTCAATCCTCAGATCTACTTACCTCCATTTGGTCTATCCTTGGACTCATCCCTTAATCCCAAAGTGTTTTACTTCCACAATTATGTTGTCTGCAAGCCAGAGTTGCTCATGAAAACTGCAGTCTTGGTTTCACCTCCACTGCAATCCTTGGCTAGGCCTTCATCTCCTGCTCTCTTGCTATTGTCAATGCCATCTCTGTGACCTGTTCAGATTCTAGTGCTTGCAGATATACAGGAACATTAAATAATGAAGAGAGATCTTTTCTGAAAAAAGCAAAAAAAAAGTATCTTCTTTCATACATTCATGTAAAGTGACTTTAGAGACTGTGAAAGGTAAAGGTTTTGGCACTGGAAAATGAAATGTGTGTGTTTTGAATTCACAGCTGACCATGAATGACTTTAGTGTACATAGAATAATTGGACGAGGGGGATTTGGTGAAGTATATGGTTGCAGAAAAGCAGACACTGGAAAAATGTAAGTTATAGTCTATGTTTTAATGATAAATATAAAACTCTAAAGTATATAAAGAAAAAAACTCTGAATTTTTACAAAATCTTTGCAGAGCAGAATGATTGCCTAAGATTGTATCACAAAATTGTGTGTTTCATTGTGCAGTAGAGTGTTGGCCGAAGGCCCAGACAACTGAAGAAGAATTTCAATTTAAGGAATTGCTTAAAGCCTCATTGGAAACTTGATCCTCCACAGTTTGGAACACTCAGGCCTCTGTCTTGCAAAACACTTAAGCATATTCTTATTGAAAACTTCTGCATGGTCCCTCTGAACTAACAGGTGACTTCTCATGTCCTTAAAATGGAAGCTTCACAGGAGGTAGCCGAGTTAGTCTGTAACAGGAAAAACTTAAAAAACAACAAATAATCTAATAGCACTTTAAAGACTAACAAAACATGTAGATGGTATCATGGGCTTTCGTGGGCAAAACCTACTTCTTCAGATGACCGGAGAATATTATGCTGAAGTAGTTTGCTGGCTTAGAGCCCGTGGTGCTTAGAACATTTCAGGATTGAGCTCTCAGATAGAAATTTGTGGACAATTTAAGAATACAGGATTCTAAATCTATGTAATTCAAAACTATTTGCACTTTTGAGCAGAGGTTTTGAACAAAAGAAAACAGCAGCATTGGGTGTTTCTACTTGATAGTTGGTAGCTCATTGTTGAAGTGCAGCTAAAACTCATCTCTGGATTCAAGTTCACAAGTCAAACCCTTTGCTTTCTCTGACACTGCTATTCATACATAGTTCCTAATTTTTGCATAGTAAATCCCTGGCTACAAGACACAATTCTCCTATCACATGGTCAGCTTTGATTTTCAGTGGTAATATGGGTTTTTCACATGGTTCTGGGTTTTTTCCCCTTTTGTCTACCTGCTCTTCTACTCATTTGAACCCAGGGATCCTTCTCAGCTGATTCCCATGTATGTGAACAGAGCATTCCTCATACCTGAGGTGCTGAGTATTCATGGTTCCCATTGGGTTCATTGGGAATTTGATAAACTGACTCTGAGAAAATGAAGGGTCCCCTGAAATGATGTTCATGTTTAAATCTTCTACAGCGACTTTCACCTCAAGAATTTATCTCAGTAGTACTATTAATATCTTTATTCCTGTTGCAGTACTTTTGTGCACCTATTGATTTATTCTTTTTTAGTTTGAGATTTATAAAATGGGCCTGCCATGTAAATGTAAATGATAGCCATTTCTTTTGGACAAAAGCCACACTAAACAGCCTTCTACCTCAGAGATAGGGTTAGCATATTTGCCTTGTATTCACATTCCCTGAAGAAGCATAAATGCCTAAACTAAGAAACTCAGTAAGGAAACAAAAGATGTCCCTGCCCTCCATTTCCCTCTCTACAATTTCTCTGAAGCACAGAGGCTTGAGAGGAGAGAAAGATAATGGATGTAGGAGCAGAAAAGTCAGCCAGACTTCCAAACCCAAAGTAAAACTTTTGACTAGGTTCAGTTTTTGGATAGAGGTTTGAGGTAGTTCTGACTTTATCTGAACCTTAGAGAGAGAGAGCTGTGTTAGTCTGTAACTTAAAAAAAAACTTAAAAAACAAGTGGTCCTGTAGCACCTTAGAGACTAAGAAAAAATATAGATAGTATCACTAGCTTCTTCTTTGAGTGGTCCCTGTGGGTGCTCCACTGTAGGTGTTGGGCTTGTCCTGGCGTCGCAGGTCAGAGATTTTCCATAGCCGTATTCAGCCGGACCGTACATGCGCGATCAGCGTCCCACGTTGTTCGTGCACTTTGATCGTCGCGCACGGTCTGGCTCCCACCACTTCCTCTCAACCGTCCTCAGTTGCAGGTGGAGCACCGTTCATCTCTTCAACTGGTTAGATCTTTCCTGTTAAAAAAATAGTTAGAAATAGTTAGTTACTTCATAGTGTGTTTATAGTTCGTTAGTTTAGTTAGCTTTTCACACACACACACACAACCGTTAAAGTTTTAAAAAGTTATCATTTAATCGTTAATTAGTTAATTCAAAACGATGCCTGGTTCACTAGGTTTTAAAAAGTGCTCCATGTGCCGCAAAACCATGCCCGCATCAGACGGCCACTCGGCCTGCATTCACTGTCTGGGCGAAGCGCACGACCCTCAGAGGTGTGCGCATTGCTCGAAGCTTACTGCTAGAGCACGAAGGGACAGGGAGATGCATCTTAAATAATCCTATTTGACAAAGCCCTACAACCCGCGGACCCTGCTACACCAACAAGTTCAGAAGCCGCTATTGTGCAGAGGCGTAGGGCTTCCTCTTCTGGGGTGACTGCTGCAAAGAAAATCAGGGCATCCCCCACAAGATCCCTACTTGCCATGTCGATCAGCAGAGTCAGCAAAAGGGACAAGCCTGGCATATCTGGCATTCCCCCAACAGAGCCAAAATTTCTGTAGTGTCAAAATCCAAGACAACAACATCTTCGGCACCAAGACCACCAGCAGAGAGCGAGCCAAGGAGACCATGGTACTGCTAGCGTCATCACTGTCTTCGCTGCTGATAACACCGGGACACTCACCAACATGGCCAGTCACAGTGCCGTGCGCCTCGGCGCCATCCACAGTGCCACGATCCGTTACCCTGACAGTGGCGCCGCGCACCTCATCGGCTTCTACAAGATGGGAACCATATTCGGAGCACTCACCAGAAAGGGCTGGACGATCGGTACCAACAAAAGCAGCACAGAAGTTGCACGTTCAACATGCTTCCATTTCACCATCCCCAACATTCTCCCCAGCACCATCTCCATCACTGCCGATTCTGCTCTCCCCTCCTAGGATGGCCACCACCACCGCACTGGTGAATCTCCTCAATGTAGCATAAGATCTCTGCGTAGGGAGACTTTTAGGGAGTACCCGGGGCACTGGGATAGATGCAGCTCGCGATCTCCTCCTTCGAGGATGTCTCCGCACTTGCCTCATTCACCAAGGTGGTCCCCTCATTTAACATACTATCGCCGTCATGGCAGTGTCGTATCTTCGAGACACTCATCACCGGCTAGATCGGAGCGCGATTATGACTATTACCACAAGCCACATTACTGATCTCGACACTATTACAGATCACATTCATACAGATGATCCCCATGCTGCTGCCATTCGCCGAGGTATCAACATGTTTCAGTACAACCTCAACCAACACAATGACTTCCAACCCCTTCTGAGCGGAGTCGCACTTCACAGCTGCAACATTCAGAACCAGAGAAGGGACAACTGTCGGAATCTGAAGATCCTCAACCTGAAACGTCACCGATAGATCAATCCTCCTCATCTCCCGATGAGCAGTATTCCCGGGAGACATGGCCCCACCCAGACGACTTGAAACTATTTCAGGAACTATTCAAGCGTGTGGCAGAATCACAGCAGGTGCAGCTAACTGAGGTACAGGCAAAGCAATACTGTCTGCTCAAAAATGTACACCCCCAGCAAAGGGCAAAAATTGTGCTTCCAATCAACGAAGCAATCATGGAGGCTGCGGAGTAAATTTGGCAGACCCCGGCTTCGGTGGTTCCAACAAGTAAACGGGCAGATAAGAAATACTCTGTCCCCTCCAAAGGCCTCGAATTCCTATTTAACCACCTGCAACCAAACTCCTTTGTCGTGGACGCAGCTCAGCTCAGCACAGGACAAAGACACCTCAGTACAGAAATACGGCAGTGGATAAGGACAGTAAAAGGCTTGACATCTTTGGAAGAAAGATGTACTCATCAGCCACCCTGCTTGTCTGCATAGCAAATTAAGCGGCATTGCTGTCCAACCATAATTTTGACAACTATTCCAAATTGAGAGAATTACTACAATACCTCCCTGTTTCAAAGAAAACAATTCTGAAATCAGTAGTACAAGAGGGTTACGCTGCGGCCAGAGCATGCTATTGATCGCCCTAGACATAGCAAACACAGCCACCTGGCGGCAATTGCTATGTGGAGATCCTCATGGTTAGCCACAGCTGTGGTTCCTAAGCAACTACAGACGAAGGTAGAAGACCTAATAACATAAGAATGGCCGTACTGGGTCAGACCAAAGATCCATCTAGCCCAGGATCCTGTCTACTGACAGTGGCCAGCACCAGGTGCCCCAAAGAGGGTGGATCGAAGACAATGATCAAGCAATATGTCTCCTGCCATCCCTCTCCAGCCTCTGACAGACAGAGGCCAACGACACCATTTTATCCCCTGGCTAATAGCCTTTTATGGACCTAACCTCCATGAAATTATCTAGCTTCTCTTTAAACTCTATTATAGTCCTAGCCTTCACAGCCTCCTCTGGTAAGGAGTTCCACAGGTTGACTACACGCTGTGTGAAGAAGAACTTTCTTTTATTAGTTTTAAACCTGCTCCCCATTAATTTCATTTGGTGTCCTATAGTTCTTCTATTTAGGGAACTAATAAATAACTTTTCTTTATTCACCCTCTCCACACCACTCATGATTTTATAGACCTCTATCATAATCCCCCTCAGTCTCCTCTTTTCTAAACTGAAAAGTCCCAGTCGCTTTAACCTCTCCTCATATGGGACCCGTTCCAAACCCCTAATCATTTTAGTTGCCCTTTTC